TGTTTCATATCCAATTGTTTTCATTCCTTCAGAAGAAACGCGCAATCTCCTTGGATATTTTTCATAATTTCTTGGTTCGTTTATTTTTGTGTTTCTTCATTTATTTTCCCTCACAGACTACCCATATTGGTGTAGATGGGCCGAAGCTGAAGATCCGTTACATTCCACTTCCTTTGTCCGAAACGATAATCTGTACCATACAGAAGAAACCAGATACCGTTCCGCTATTTCTGAAGCATCTGTGTGAGAAGATCGATCTTGCATCTGTTTGTGGATACATCACTGTGTTGGCTCCCTGGACCCAAACCGAAGCCAGATTATCATTCGAGAGCGCAGCTCTACAAGTGCTAGACGAAGTTCTGAACTACATTGTACCCCCTTCGACTGTTTCAGATACAATGCTCCCGCAGACAGAACAAGAGAACGATGCGTGCTGTTTGGTATTAACCGAATCAGAGTTGCTTGAGTTAATGCAGCAGGGTCAATCAGTACACTTTATCACCTTGCACATGGGTCTACCTATTTTCAGTAGGGACTTGCTTCGTGCGGTTTGTGGACAAATTGCTGAACGTACACCGAACCTACTCACCCCAGAAGCCCGGATTCAACTGGAAGCAGCAAATAAGCAGCTACTAATCGGACTGGAGGATTTCGTCTATAATAAATGTGCCGCTCGCTGGCCCCGTGTGACCGAGTCTATTCAGTCACCTCGACTTGGTGCCACGAGTCTCAATGGGGTTGGGATGGGTGGGATTGGTTTATCAGACCAAATCCCAGGCCCGTGGCCTCTACCTACTCGTAGCGTGGTTTGTGGCTTGGGGGATTGGAGTATTTTGTTCTAAATTGGATTAACATGGACTCAAACCACCTGAATTATGCATATCCGTGAATTTTCCGCCCGAAGTCTTTCTTCCTTTCCTCATTATCCCATTCCGGGTCTCTCGTACATAGTGATTCAAGGATTTATATTTTGTCGAATATGCGGTGCTCATCTTCTCACTCTTCATACAACCACACAATACTTGTATAATTATTTACCCTCATTTCCTCATTGGCATTTCCCCCATATTTTCCTCTGTGATGTGCATCTGTGTCTTCGTCGGTTTTGCCACTAACAGCT